TGACGTAATGGGCAAAACGGGGTGATTACGGTCATCCGTGAAAATATCTGAAGATCTGACCGGGGGATTCTCCCCAAACCTTGCTCAGCTGATCCAGCCTGGGGGGAAGGCCAGGCCTGGGCAAAGAAACCAGCACCTCATCAGTCTTCCCTGAGCGTCACAGCTCGGTGATCGCGCCGGCCGGACACCACTCACTGAGACGGCCGTTCCGGGCATTTGAACGCGACCTTCGGGGGCAAAGACATGGGCTCTATGGCTCAGACTGGACTCCTCTTGGTCCCTTCTGATGCCCTAGGCCACACCTGGGCCTTACCTGGAGCTCTAGGGGGCGGGCAGGGTTTGCCCCCCCCAACTGGCCCGAGGGACCTTAATTAAGATACAAGCCTCTCACACAGCACACTGGCACGACAAGGGCGCGGACTGGCGCGGACTGAAGAAACCAAAAAGGCCTGGTGGTGGCGGCGTGCCGTCCTCCCCTCCCTCCCTTGGGTTGACTGTTGTGTTTCTTTTTTCTTTCTGGATGCTTCTTAGCTCCCCGGCCCTGGATGTGAGGTAAATGACTGCACTCCAAGTGCTCCAAGTGCTCCTCATCTCAAGCCCGACCTCCTCCCCGCAAACGTTCTGCTCCTCCGCCGCCTCGCTCCGTCGGGGACGCCGTCGCGTCCTTCGCGAGTCGTCGACCCGCCGGAACCCGCCCCTGCCCGGAAGCGGCGTGGCCACCCCCGCCGCTGCCGTCGCCGGAGCGCGCCCAAACGCGCGGCGGCTGCCGCCGCCTTCGCTCCCTCCCCTCCGGCCTCCACCACCGTCCCCGCGTCCAGCTCCTCCACCACCAGGTCGACCCAGCGGGGGAGCGGGGACGTGTCCGCCCGGCGCGCGAGACCACCCGCCGACGACTCGCCGACGCCCGCGATCGCCACGGCGGCCGGGCTCGCATCGACGACGGCGGGGGATTCGACGGCCCCCTGCGGCGGCGCCGCCGGCAGCAGCGGCGTCGCCGGCAGCAGCGGCGTCGCCGGCAGCACCGGAAGCGCGCGAAGCGTCTCGATGGTCGCCGCCGCCTCGGGCAGGAGCAGCGCAGGCGTGTCGACGCCGCCCTTGTAGAGGCCGTGCGCCGCGGCCCCTCGCTCGGCCGCCTCGTGCATCGCCTCGGAGCGGACCTGCACCTCGACCAGCCGGCCGTCGGGGAGCCGCACCTGGACTCGAGCAAGCTGCGTGTCAGCCGAGGAGGCAGCAGAGGGGGGCGCGGAGGGGGGCGAGCTGGAGAGGAGAGCGAAGCAGGGGCGCGCGCGTTCGTGTGCAGCGACTGGTAGCCGTTTGGCTTTGGGCGCGCGACAAAGTCTTTGAAGCGGCCCGGCTCCTCGCGCCAGCGCGTGACGACCTGCTTGTAGGCGGCGTAGCAGAGGAGCGCCTCCGCCTCGGGGCGAGAGAGGGTCGGCTGCTCCAGGCTGGCGGCCAGCTCGGCGGCCGCGCCGACCGACGGCGCCAGCACGAGCCGGAGCGCGAGCACGTCCCGCACCGCCTCGACGTCGTCCACGTCGCGCAGCAGCTTGCGCAGCGTGGAGGGGACCGTCTTGACGCGCCCCGTGACCGTGACCTGCAGTGGACGTGCCGTGGACGTGTCATGTGGACGTGTCATGTGGACGTATGACGGGCCGGTGCGCGACCTCCGCCAGCAGCCCGTGCAGCGACGGCGCCTCCTCGACGGCGGCTCGCAGCTCGGCGATCAGCCGGGGCAGCAGCTGGTGCGCGTCCGGCCAGACGGCGTCGAACCACGCGCCTACGGCGGACCCCTCTCGCCTCGCGCCGGCCACGGCCGCGGCAGCCGAGGCGGCGGCAGCGGACCCAGGCGGGAGACGTGTCCTGGGAAGAGGCGGCGGTACGAGACCGCCTCGAGCTCGCAACCGAGCGGCGCGAGCCCCACCTGGTGGACATGTCTCGGACATGTCATGTCCGCGTGTCGAGGACATGCCCCTCGCAGCCGGGCGGGTAGACCACGCACCGTCTGCGCGAGAGGGGCGTACAGCTGCACCGCTCGCAGCGCCACCGCCGCGCCCGCGTCATCGGCACCGCCCGCCGCCTCCTCCCGCCGCAGCTGCGCGAGAGTCGAGCCGAGCGCGACGAGCAGCGCCCGCGGCTCGCGCGAGCCCGCGCCGACCATCGCCCTCACGACGAGTGCCGCCGCCGCCGAGTTGAGGTCGTCGAGCGAAGCGGGCCTATTACTTGGCGCGATTCCTTCTATCGAACTCGTACTTGGTTTAGTCGAGGTCGTCGAGCGAAGCGGGCCGAGGCAGCAGCGAGGCGGGCATAGCCTGCAGCCGCCGCGCCTGCTCGAGCGGCAAGTCGACTGTGATGGTCGTCTGGGCTCGAGTCTGGAAGTGGTTGAGTCTTGAAGTGGTTCCGCATCTCCGCCTGCTCGAGCAGGTGGTCGACCATCCTCGCGATCTCCCCACATCTCCCCGTATCTCCGCCTGCTCGAGCAGGTGGTCGACGCGCGCGGAGAAGGGCGAGGGCGCGCCGAGAGGCCAGCTCGGCGCCGCGGCGGAGAGGGCGCTGCCCGAGAGCATCACCGCCTGGTCGACATTAGTGACGTGAACTTGGCGCTGGCCGAGAGCCTCACCGCCGGCGCGAGGGGCGGCTGAGTGCGGCGCCGCGCGGGAGCGGTGAGGGCGGTTGGCGAGGGGTGAGTGCCGGGCGGTGGGGCTGCAGCGTGACAGTGTGTGTGGGCTGTGGACCGCGACGGTCTCCGCATCGAGCCCGAGCTGGAGCAAGTCGAGGGCTGCCCGCACGCTCGCGAGCACCAGCAGCGCCGCGGCGTCGCCACCGCGCTCCACGAGAGGCGCCTCTGCATGCCACCCGTCTGCAGCCCGGTCACCGGCGGGCGCTATCGAGAGGAGGCCCTCCCACCCCTGCGAGCCGCCGTCCGTGGCGATGTCGGGCGGCGTGCGGAAGGTCGGCTCGAGCAGAGTGGAGGGCAGAGCTCCGCCGACGAGGGCCGACTGCTGCCTCGCCGTGCCCTCCACGCTGCTGACGATGGCTGCTTTCGAAAGCAGCACACGCAGCGCGAGCCGGAGGTCTACGTGCTCCGCCTCGCCGAGGTGACCCGCCGCTGGAGCGAGCATCGCCCACAGCGCCGTCGCTCTCGCCTCCAGCGGCGATGCCGCAGCGTGCTCCTCCGCACGCAGAGTGACACGCCGGAGGACTGCGCAGTGGCCGCCGAGCGGGCAAGCGACGCCGGCGAAGCTCGCGGCATGTGGCGGGGACACCAGAAGGAGGAGGAGGGCGAACGGCGGGCGCATGTACGTCGTTCTCGCGGCGGCCGCGGCGGAGGAGGCCAAGGCCCGCCCGGGCTTCCTGGACGAGTGGAAGCGAGCGAAGGGAGGTTGAGGTGGCGGCCGTCGAAGGGCGCCAAATTTTCTTCCGAAGGCGAGGGTGTTGTTAAAAAGAAAGTGCGAACCGCACTCTCCGCCTGCGAGCCGTCTTTTTACCAGGTTGCAACCCTTGTTCCGCACTCGGCTGTGAAAGCTGCTGGTTGCCGCCGGTTGAGCAGCACCCCATCCCCGTCCACGTTGTCGGTTGCTGCTCCATGGTGCCCTGCTGCCGGGCCTGCGCGGCCCGCCACGTAGGTGCGTTCACAGCGCCAATTTGGCCCGCTCTTCGGCTCGCTCCGCTCGCCGGTGAGTTGGTTGGTTGCTGGCAGCACCCCAGCACCGGGGGGTCCTGAGAGCTGTTGGTTGCCGCTCGATTCACAGCACAGTGCAGAACAAGGGTGCAACCTGGCGCGATTTTTTTGCCTGCCCCGTCTTCGCCGTCGCGCGACGACCACGCCAGTGTCAAGGCTGGGGGCTTTCTTTTTCTTCCTTCTCTTTTATACCTGGTAATAAGGCCGCTCGCTGTGTCCGACGCAGACTCTACATGCGAGTCCTGCTGCTCACTCACAACGTGGCCGGCATCTTTGACGACCCCGACGAGGCGCTCCGGCCGTGGGCTGACGGCCTCGCGGCGCTCGTGCAGCGGACGCGCGCCGACTTCATCGCGCTGCACATGCAGGAGGTCGGCGGGTCGCGCTGGAGGACGTGCGGCCTCAATGGGGCAGCGGCGGTGGCGGGAGCGGTGGAGGCGGCCCTGCCCGACCACTGGTCGAGCGGCATGATGGTCCGCACCGACACGGCGGAGGACGGCTTTACCGCGCTCGGCTCAATCTATCTGGTTCGGCGCTCTGCGATGCAGCTGGTGCGGCTCTGGCGGTGGAAGGAGGCGGAGGGCGCCGCGGGGGCGTTCGAGAGCCTGCGTGCCGCCGACGGCCCGCTCGTCCCGCAGCCGGGCCTCCCGCCCCGCCACTGCCGCCACGAGCGCTTCCCGCGCCACCTCTACGGCTCGACTTGGCGCCTCTCGCTCCGGGCTCCTGCGGGCGCCTCCCGGGGCGTGTCGTCACGAGCCCTGCCGTGAGCAGGTCGCGCAAGGGGTACCTGCTCACGCGCTGGCAGCTCGGCGGCGGAGGCGGGGCGGTGCTCGACTTGGTCAACGTCCACAACTTTCACGACGAGAGCAACCTCGCCGCCCTGGCGGCAGGTCCAGCCCGTCCTCGCCCCGGGGGGGGGAAGGCGAGTCGGCCGCCCAGCAGAGGGTGCCCTCTGTGCGACTGCTAGGCGCCTCGACCTACGCGAGCTGCAGGCAGCAGGCGCTCTCCCTCGTCACCGCCGCCCTGCTCGGCTTGCGGGGCGGAGGGGCGGCGGGCGGAGGGGCGGCACCGGCACCGGCGAGCGCCGCGTTCCTCTTCGGCGACTTCAACTTCAGGAGCAGACCTCGCTCGCTGCCCGCACCCCTCCCAACGTCCCCTGCCCGCGCAGACCACCACCCTTCCCAACCCGCCGCCCTTCCCCCACCCGCCACCCTCCCAATCACTTGCCCCCTCCCTCTTCCGACCTCCTCCCCCCCCCCAAGGCTCGACCTGGCCCACGCCGTCTCCCTGCTCTGTG